ATATATATTCTTTTTCATCAAATAGTTTATACTAAGACGGACAATTGACTTACTTTAGATATGAATGATACCGAATTAAGTTCAAATTCAACATAAAGGGACTGAAGGTTACTCGTTGGTGTCACAAGAAGTACAGGCTGAGAATCCATTCTCACAATGAGTACTTCTATTTATGGCCTACTGACGATCTCAGGGGGATAAAAACGTTGGAGAAAGGAGCTAGATGGGAGGGAAGAACTGACATTCATCCTCACCCCAATGGATATCTAGTTCCCTGAAGCCTCTCTGTCTTTATCAGCTGCTGCTGTGAACCATGTGTTCCTCTGCCCCCACCTCCTTCCTACTAAGATTATCTTTGTCAAGGGAAGCCCAGAAACTTCATCACTTAAGCGGCCCTGGCCCACGTTAAAACTGACACAAGGCTAGAAAACACGGTTCTAGATCAAGGTCAAAGACCCTCACTCTGAGTCTTAGGCAAGTTACCAAGCCTCTGTGAACCTGTTTCATTGTCCCAGGAACTCTCTCGTGAGGATGGACTTCGGTTAACAACGTGGGCAGCCATGAGGCGCAGTTCCTAGCGCAGGACAAGCGTTAACGGTCTTGGTTTTGTTCAGGGAAAGTTAGGGGAAGCAGTCGTCTGTTAGGGGAAGGGCCTCTCTGTTGCCAGAAGGCAAAGCCAGCCTGGAGCCACAGCAACCCCTGCTGGCCACGGGCAGGAAGTTCCAGCGTCGTGGGCAGAAGAAGCTAGTGGACCAAGGTGTCCAAGAATGCCCCAACTTTCCCGGGGGATGGCGAGGCGGCTCCGCTATGCAAAACTGGGGACCCCGAGAGGCTGGAGACGGCACATCTTGGGGCGGGGGCGTGGAGCCCAGGGCCCTGGTTTCCGCTTCCCTCCGAACTCAAGCAAGGCCCGCCCCCTTCCCCTGGGGCAGTTTCCCTATCTAGAAAACCGCGCCACCCGAAACCATCAGGTGATCGATTGCCTGGAGGTGGGAGGCGGGGGTTCCAGGCAGCACTTACAGGAGAATCTCTTGCTTGGTCAGAAACGTCAAGTCCTGGAAGGCAAAGCCACAGATGAGATCAGCCGGCAGCCCCAAAGCCGCGTCCGCCCAGCTGCCCTCTCAGCAACCCTGCTCCCGGGACGGGACCGCGCGAGCTCCCAGGAAACCGGTGCCCCGCGCACCTGGTACTCGATCAGCAGCTCCTTAGACAGGCGGCTGCCCGAGCCCCCCATCGCCGCTCGCGCACACCGCTCTGCTAACTCGGCTCGGGACACCGACAACTTTCTCACTTCCGCCCTCCAGTCGCGTCCCCGCCCCGTTCCCGTGGCAACCGCTCCCGGGGCCACCGCCTCGGGGCCCGCCCCCTCCTTAAAGTGCCCGGGAGCTCCCCGCTGGGTTTAGCCGGCAAGTTCCGGGCTCCGGGCTTCCCCGGCAGCCGGAGGCGGGGCCCGGGGCGGGCCCGGACGCTCCGGGGCGGAGCCCAGGCCTCCCGGCCCCGCCTCCAGGGTGGGCGGGCCGCGCCGCGTGCATGCGTACGGGCTGCGCATGCGTTAAGCGTCACCCTGAGAAGGAAGTCGCGTTGGGTACCTGGTGGCGGTGCCAGCCTTGTGACAGGTTCGTGGAATGGGCGTCTGGGAAGGTCCTTGAACCAGGGCATCCAGGAAATCTGGAGACTCACTGAGCAGTCAGCTGCCCAGCACTCGCTCATGTGTCAGTCCCCATGCCACCTCTTCCAGGAGTAGCCATAAAACCTTGTTGCAGTTGACTGAAGCCCCCTTGGGACCCAGGCTTTGTGCGTGTTTTTCTTCGATTCTTAGAACAGACCTACAAGGTAGGTTCCAGCGTAAAGAAATACAGAGGTCCGTCCTTGGACATTTAAAAAGCGGCTTTCCAGTCCAAGGCTCATTCCATTGCTTCTCATTGCTGTTACAACAGCCGGGATATGCTGCCTGACCCCACTCCACGCTCACGCCCAGAGTGCGTGTTCTTGGGCAGAGGGGACGAATCTGCTTGTCGTTGTCTCAGCCCCTAGAACTATTCTTGGCAGAGTAGAAGCGCAGTAAATACCAGATGAATGAATGAAACGACACTACTCAGAAGATGATTCCTTAGCAAACGGTCAAAGTGTTAATAACTGATTCTTCCAGTTCATTCCCTTCGAGCATATTAATCTCAGTTTAAAGTTACTAAGCGGGTAACCAAATCCTGCCCTCGGTTACTGGCTTCTTGGCCTCTCAGTTCTGGTCAACAATCCACCAGCCTCAGGGTCTTTGCACACTGTGTTCTCTGAACTGTGTTTTCCTTTCACTGGAAAATTTTCTCCCTAAACCACCCTTATCACGTCTTGTAGTCATCCTTCAGTTCAAGAGTCGCATTCTCAAGGAAGCATGTGCTGCTTCTTCCTGTAGTATTGTTTGTTGTGTACCGTTGGGTAATAACTAACTTCCAGGAAGTTAGAAAGAGTACAAAAAGAAACAGGTAAAACTAATTGCTTAGACAACAAACTGAGGGGATTAAGTTTTTCAAATGACCTTTTAGTGAAAGGAAGCATTAGGTCATCAATACAGAGAGTAAGTTAGAAAAACAGAATAAATAGTGCTACCTTTTAAAAAAAAATTTATTTGCTGTTTTATGCTTTAAGACTTTCCCGTGTCTTAGAATTTACTTGGGACTTGGCAAGAAAGGGAAGGAAGTGTTTTTGTCGCTAGACAGATTTTACATATTTTTGGGAGTTGGTTGGCTGAGGTTTGAGAATGAGTAATGTGCAGCCAGGAAAGAGGGCCAGGGGAAGGCATTTTTGTGAGCAGGTAGGGGCAGATTTGTCTGTATGGTTTGGGGAGAATTGTATAGGGGATTAACTGCTGGATGGGAGCAGAAAAGGAAAAGAAGGGTGCTTTATCTGTGGCTTAGGTTTGGAAAAGAAGAAGGTAATGTTTTGTATGAGATGTCTTCTTAATATTCTTTTTTTTCTTTTTTTTAATTATTAATTTCAATGAAAATTTACAGAGACTTTGGATTTCCATTCGTTTATTGTTGCACTTTTCTCCCCTCCCAACCCTCTCCCCCAGTATACTCCCCTCTTGGAAAAGTAAAAGAAAAATTCTTTCATTGTTTTACAATCCCTCCCCCCAGGTCCACTCCACTATGCAGCCTTCGCTCTGGACTCCTGTCATGACAAAACTACCTAGTCATATATCCCTTTTAAACAGTTTTCTCCCTCAGCTGTTTCAATGCAGTATACATTATTTAACTCATCTTTCTCAGTCTCCCCCCAACCCCAATGTCAATCCTGTTTTAAAACAGTGGCATCATGCAGTATTTGTCCTTTTGTGACTGAGATATTTCATTTAGCATAATGTCCTCCAGGGTCACCCATTTTGAATAATATTGTGTGAGTTCCTTGTTTTTCAGTTTAGCGTAGTATTCCATTGTGTGAATATACCACAGCTTCTCTATCCATTCGTTTGTTGATGGGCACTTAGGTGGTTGTTTCCAACTCCTTGCTATTGTGAGCAAAGCCGCAATAAACATGGGTGTGCGTATATTTGCTTGGATGTCAGTTATGGTCTCTTTGAGTTATATTCCCAGTAGTGGATTGCTGGGTCAAATGGTATCTCTGTTTGCAACTTTTTGAGAAAGTGCCATACCATGTTCCACAGTAGCTGCACCATTAATATTCTTTTTTAACTGGTTGAGAAGGATGAGCAGAGAGATGCAAAAGCAGAGAGTAAAGAAAGTTTGAGTATAGGAAACCTCTGACCATTTGCAATTTCAGTACCTATGTTTTTTTTTTGTAGGACAGATTGAGCGTGCTGAATTTAGGTTATGAAATTTGAGAATCATTTAAATAAGGTGTAATGCCAAAGATGCATGAGTTTTTGAGGAGGCAGAACAAAGGACTGTCTTTAAATTAGGCATAAAGCCGAAGGTGCATGAGTGTTAGAGGAGGTAGACCAAAGGACTGTCATTGGTACAGAAGGTCCAGCCTCCATATTGAGATAAAATTGAGCCTGGGCATTTAGGATCTGACTTGCCAGAAACTTGCTGAGCAGATCCTCTGACAGTCAAAAAAGCATCCTCTTGTGGGTTATCAGGAAGGGAGTCCCCTGGGAGCCACCTGGCTCCTGAGAGGAGGGAGAGGGTAACAGAAAGGGAGTAATCAGTCCCTGAACACCTCAGGGAATGACCATAGGCTCTTACCTCAATCTGAGGGATAGCATTAGGCACTTGAGAATTGAGGCCTGTGTTGGATGTTGTAGGATTTAAATGGTAAAAGGCCTTAGACCTTTGGAACCAGAAGGAAAGTAAGGTCTTATTATCAGGAGATAGACATTATCAGGTTTCGTCAAGGAATGATCAGCTCTGGGGGCAACTGCCTCTTCAGGAGGAAGTTTTCACCTCAAGAATATAAATTTCCTGATGGCAGAAATCTAGTCTCTGCTACTTGTTATTGTACTTTTAGTATACATTGCAGATAACTTAGAAAGACTTGGGTTAAGTGGTTCAGTGAAATGTTGAGTGGAGTTTATAGAAGAGGCACCCCAAGAAAATTGAAACTAGCATGAGCTGGGAGTTTGAAAGAAAGAGTGAATGAATGCCATCTTAGATATATAGTAAATAGATTTCCTAAATCCATTTTTAGGTTCACACTTAATAAAATAACTTAAGACTTCACATTTTATAAAAAATATGCTTCATTTTATTTTTGGTGGGTCATTTCATGGTTTATGTGTCTTGGGGTTTATTTTTATTTCTTTTCAGTTTGATTATTGTGAAGTCTCTGGACCAGAAAGCTGAGGAAACACAAACTTGGACTAAACGCGTCAAGTTAATGCCCCTCCCTGACATCTCTAGGTCTGCAGAGCTCCAGAGGGCCAGTGAGAGAGAGGTAATAGTTCTCTCCTCGAGGGACAGGCCCTGGTCACTTACACAGACATCAGGCCATGTTCATCCAACTAGTTCAGTAGACAGGCATGTGAAATCACTCCAGGGCAGTGGAAATGCTCCTCCCAAAAAATGATGGTCAGCTCTGAAGCCCTAGGCCCTCATGTACTGACACTGTTCTCAGAAAAGCAGTTTAACAGAGTGCATATTCACGTTCTTAGCCTTGGGCAAATTCTAACCCTGCGTTCTATTTGGAACTTCTTTTAATAAGAAAAAAATATATGCAAAGATGGATGTATTTAAGATGTTCTCTGCAATACTAGTGTGTAATAGTATGAAACTGATAGATGTGTATATGTACAGCAGCTGGAGAATGGTTAAAAGCATAAGATCCATCTGTGTAAAAATGAAGCTGGAGCTGCCTAAATATTTTACTACTGGGTATTTTGTTTTTTACATAGTATTGCATTTTTTTGTGTCAGTTTGGGTGTTATGTTAAGGCTTATATTTGGTTTAGGGTTTTTTCCCCTCCATTTAAAAATATTCAACAATTATCTATAACTTTTACAAGAGAAAAAAAAGTTGGTAAGTAACTCTAAGCCAACAAAAATGTATGCTTATTAGCATCCGTTAGAATTATGAGTGATTTGTTTTCTAAGTATTTCTTTTATCAGTGGCATATGTTGCTTTTGTAATCAGGTGAAAAGGTAAAAGTTACTTGAAAATAAAGTCTCTGAAGATGAGGCCTTTATACATTTTTCTCCTAATCATTTCAGGTCAGCCCCATGGCCAATTGGCATGATTCAAGTGAAGCTACCTACCTGCTGCCTCCACTCAGGGAAGACTGGGAGGGGCACGGCATCCCTGACTTTGTGTACAGGCAGGAGGACCTGCTGGCAGGAGAGATCCAGTGGCCCAGGAATTCACCTGCGGTTCTAGGGGCCCTGCCACTTTCTCGCTTTGACTCTGCCGTCTGCACTGCCTGGAGACAGCGGATGGAGCTGGGCCTCTTCCGTTACTGCCTAGGGAACCTGCAGACTCAAATCCTCCCTGGTGCTGTGGGTTTTGTGGCTCAGCTGAATGTGGAGCGAGGGGTGCAGAGAAGACGCCCCCAGAGCATCAGGAGTATGAGGCAGGCATTCGATCCGAAAGAATTTAACTTCACCAAAATCCAGCAGGGAGAAACCCTCTTCCGCTTGCGCCGGGAGCCTGACCTGCCAGGTGCTCCTGGGCAAGAAGACATCCTCGTGATGATCAATGTGAGCCCCTTGGAGTGGGGCCATGTGCTGCTGGTGCCCGAGCCGGCCCGGGAGCTGCCTCAGCGCCTCCTGCCAGGCGCACTGCGTGCCGGGGTGGAGGCCGTGCTGCTGAGCCGACACCCAGGCTTCCGCGTTGGCTTCAACAGCCTGGGCGGCTTGGCCTCGGTGAACCACCTGCACCTACATGGTTACTACCTGACCCACAGACTGCCCGTGGAGGGAGCGCCGAGCAAGCGCCTGGACCCTGGGGGTCGGCTGCATCTGCTCCAGGCTCTCCCAGCCCCTGGCTTCCTTTTTTACACCTGTAGCGCAGGACCTGAATTGGAAGCCTTGGTAAGCAGGGTGTGTCGGGCCACTGACTACCTGACTGACCATGATATTGCACATAACCTCTTTGTGACCCGGGGAGCCCAGGCTGGAAAGGCATCACCTTCCTCAGCCCTCACTGGGGTCCGAGTGATTCTCTGGGCCCGGAAGTCTAGCTTTGGGGTTAAGGAAGGTGAGGCTTTCAATGTTGCCCTCTGTGAGCTAGCCGGGCACCTTCCAATTAAAACATCCCAGGACTTCAGCAGCCTGACAGAGGCAGCTGCTCTGACCCTTATTGAGGACTGTCTTCTGCCTCCAGCCCAGGTGGAAGAGGTCCAGGCAGCACTGGTGGCCCTGGTGACCCAGGAGGAGCAGGACTCCTTCTCCAGGTAGTTGTTTAACTGAGGCCTGTTTATGTGGCTCTTGGGCCTTGTCATGGCAGCCTTCTCACCAACAGGAGGGGGTAAAGAACAGATGAAGTCTTTAATAAAGAACAACCTGGGAACAAGTGTAACAACTAGAACCTCATGGTTTGATCAGCTGCTTCCCTCCTCCTCTCACCCGAGAAGTGTCAAACCTATTGTTAAAAAGGAGAGGATGTGAAAGTTACACACTCCTAACTTTTTTTTAAAGAGTCTATTGCCGGCATTGAAGTCTATGGGGGAGAGAATAGTCTAAAAGTATTATATTTTAGGGCATTATTTTTATCGTAGGAGTATGCAATGAGAGTTGCAGAGTGGATTATATTTGGGGGTAGGGGGTGGGGTTTGGGGAGGTGCAGGGGGGTGGGGATTGTGTGCCAATGAGGGAGTTTTTCTTTTGCTTTTCAAGGAGAGGAGCAAATGGGGGGGAGGGGGAGGAGTTTTTGTGGGGAGAAGGGTGCAACAATGAATGAATGGAATTCCAAAATCTCTGTAGTTGTTCATTGAAATGAAAAATAAGCAAACTAAATTAAAAAAAAATTTTTTTTTAAAAAGAATCTATTGCCTTGATTTTTAAAATTTTTTTATTTGAGTGAAGGTTTACAAATCATATTTATTTTTTATAAAATCATTTAGAGACATTTTCTTTTTTAACATTATTTGCCATTAATTAATGTAACTGATTACAATGTCTAGACAGACAGAATGAGCCTCTTTTTTCCCCTCTTCACCTGACTTATCTATTTATTAATCTTTACTCCCCTCTCCCTCTTTACCCCTCCCTATTATCCCTTAGGGTTGATCTGTGTGTAAATCTTTCCTTAGCTTTTTGTAATAATGGTCTTACATCATAATACACATAGTATAATTTGTTCTACATTAATCCGTGTGGTGCAGTATTTTACAATTCCTTGATCATTTTTTAGTGATATGTAATACTCCATGATGTAAATGCACTGCATTTCTTTAGCCATTTTCTTGAGCCGTTTGTATGTTGATGGTCATTTAGGTTGTTTCTAACTCTTTACTATTGTAAATAATGCTGCAATAAAAATGGGTGTGCTTGAATGTCTGTTTGTGCCCATACTCTTGTTTCTCTGGAACATACATACCTAATAGTGAGATTGCAAAATCCAATGGTATTTCTATCACTATCTTTCTAAGGAAGCACCAAAGTTCTCTCCACAGTGGTTACAGCATTTTACATTTCCACCAGCAAAGTATGAGCGTCCCAGCCTCCTCTGCACCCTTGGTCGCCTTTGTTCTTTGCTATGTGTCTGAGCTTTGCTATAGCTGCCAGTGTGCAATGAATTGTTTCCTTGGTTTTTTTGTTTTTGTTTGTTTCCTTGTTTTGATTTTCATCTTTCTAGTAGCATTTGTCCTTGTGGAAGTGTTGGAGAAGACTGTAAATTTTAGAGATGAGTCTCTTATCAGATGTGCCCTTGCCCAGATATTTTTTCCTTATCTTTCATTTTCTTTTCCTAATCAACTATCTTATGCTCTGTTGATAGTTTATTTTCATTTATATTTGATTGTCCATTTATACTGTATAAGGGCTCCTAAACTTGCCTTTTTACAGTGGAAATTGTATCTCATCTGCTGTTCTGGGTAAAATGTTTGGCAGCCGGATACTGCTCTAAGTTGACCATCTTGATTAAGGCAGGCTAGGGAGAAGGATTGGCCATCCAATTCTGAAACAACAGGCCTTTAAAAACCCTATGCAAAATACAGCACACTTAAATTAGACTAACAGATATAGCACAAGAGGCTGAGCCCTCCAGTTGGCAAACACAAAGGAGGAAGAGCAGTTGCAAGAAGACACTAGTTATTGAATGTGGAATGTGAGAAGCATGATTGTAGGTAAATTGAATATTTATTGCTAAGAGAAATGGAACACATAATATTAACACACTAGGCACTGGAGAAATGAGATGAATTGGCATGGGACTTTTTTTTTTTAGAAAATGTATACTTTGAAATAAAACAGTTATGTTAAAAAACAATGTATACTTTATATGGTATTAACAGGTTTGAACATATTCTTTTTTTAAAAAAAAATTTAATTTATTGTTACACATTTTCCTCCCTGTCCGCCCTTACCTGCCAGATCACTGTTTTCTTTGGAAAAAAGTTCTTTCATTGTTATATAGTCATCCCCCCAATCCAGACCACTTTACTATGCAACTCTTATTCTGGACTCTTGTCATGTCAATAATACCTAATCATATGTTCCTTTTATACAGTTCTCTACCTTGTCTGTTTCAGTGCTGTGTACATTATTTATTCCCTCTTTTCTTAGTTTCCCCCAGCCCTCATATTAGCCTTGTTCTAGAACAGTGGCATTTTACAGTATTTGTCTTTTTGTGACTGAGATATTTCACTCAGCATAATGTCCTCCATGGTCACCCATTTTGTATACTATTTCATGAGTTCCTTGTTTTTCAATGTTGCATAATATTCCATTGTGTGAATATACTGCAGATTCTCTATCCATTTATTTGTTGATGGGCACTTGGGCTGTTTCCAACTATTGTGAACAAAGCAGCAATAAACATGGGTGTGCATATATCTGCTTGGGTAGCAGTTCTGGTTTCTTTGGGGTATACGCCCAGTAGTGGAATTGCTGGGTCAAATGGTATTTCTGTTTCCAAC